GTAGCTCGGTGCGAAGTCGCGCACCAAGCGCAATAGATGCACGACGCATCTATTTATCGTCGCAGGGGCGTTCTACGGTCCTTGTGGTATAACTAGTCACTCCCAAAGCATACCGCTTGGGGTGCTTATCGCCGTGAGAGGGATATCGCTCTCACGCATCAAGATCTGATAGAACCCGTCTCTCAGATCAAGAGCACTGTAGATGGTGCTCTTGGACATCGAATCGATGATGACATCTTTTCGAGGTATCGGCGTCTGCGCCGGTATAGTCGCATCGTTCAGTTTATTATACGCATGAACGATACACCAACCTCCCTGTGGGCTTCTTGACACAGAAAGTTGGTGTGCTGTGCGGGGACTTCGATTCCTGCACTTGTCCTTCCTTGCGACGACTTTCGAAAAAGTCGTCAATTGCCTTCACTTGCTCCCGTGGCAGTGGCCACCTGTACTGGGCCCGCGTCAGGATGTTCAACGTCTAGACGGCCACTGTTGGCGCTTGTGTCTGCCCGGCAGACACACCATGAAGATTCCCGGTCCCGGACCGAGACTTGCCCATCGTCTTGTGTATTGCCGTTGCTTGTTCTTGTGAATCCCGGATTCACTTGCGTTTCGTCCATGCCCGTCCATGGACGAATATTCCTTGATACCGCCGGCGGACACGTCTCATCAAGCCCGGCTTGATCGCGCCCTCCTTCATGCAGCCCGGCTGCACGACAGCACGCACGCTTTAGTGCTGGAAGTTTTTAACCGCCCACACAACTTGTCGCATCGACTCCCGGGGTCGATGCATTGTCACCTAGACGCCTTACGGCGAAGCAGTTTGTCGCAACTCCCAGGGCTATTGTCTCTGGAGTAGGTTTGGATGCACCGTTAGGTGTATCTGCTGCACTAACAGGGCCATCGCTCTTTGTTGCGCCGCGACGTCCGAAGCGTACGACCGTACGCTTCTCCCAGGCGATAGTAGGATCATGCCGTGCAAGCCATGGTATGCCCAACACCATGTGGAACTTGTCGTCCAAGTCCAGGATGAGAAGCCATTCTACAACCACCCGGTGTTTGTACGAGAAGCGTGCGCGAATAACGCGCTTCACGGTCTTTACGATGGCATCCGTTGCCAATCACTCTTCCAACTGACTTCGAGGCACATGCTTCTCTTCGAAGTCCAACAACGGTAGACTTTGCTGTCGAACAAAGTTGTTCGATGCGCCCGAGTCCACCAACACCCGAAGAGATTCCGCTCTCTTCGTCATCGACTTCACCTTCAAAATGACAAGGTTTGGCATACTATCTTGTACTTCATAGTGAGATTCCGTCTCACTGGTGGCTGCGGTCCTCAACACCGCGTTTCTGTTGTAGACAGGCGTGACTACAATACCAGTAGGGCGCCCCGCGTCTACTCGTCCCTTGCGTTTTTTGTTTGACCGTGACAATACCCACTAATGCCACGTCGATTGAGTGTACTGGTGCCATACACTAACGTGCGTAGTGACCCCTGTTTCCGCACGGGAAGCATCGCACGTTGTTTCCTTTGTTCTTCTGCTGTCCGACAGCAGATTCATACGAAAGATTCATTGGTCCAGGACCTTCCGTCTTAGCAGCCGGCTGGGGCGGGCGTGGCGCGTTCGTGTGCAGTTTAGCATGTTTCAGACTAAACTCCGCTTGCATTGCGAGGGTAATTTCAGCTTCGAGAGTACTCGAGTACTCTAGGAAGAGATAGGCCTTCACAGGCCCATTTATCAACCCCTTCATGAACGTGACGACCTTGGTCGCCTCGTCCATCGGGTCGGTCACGGCGTTCGAGACCAAGTACCGAGCCCGTTGGGCGTAAGCATGTACATCATGCTTACTCCGTTGCAGGTCGAGAAACTCCGCTCGCGACCGGAACTCGTTCTGCAGGGACTCAAACGCGAGTTTGATCTCCTCCTTGAAGGACTCGTACGTGCTGAAGCAGGTAGGATCAGTGAGTCGGCGCCAGTAGGCCCAACTCCTCGCGCGCCCACCAAGACAAGACATGGCGAGGGCGACTTTCGCCAATGGGTCGACGAGACGTCGAGCCACTACGGCCGTGTCAAGTTCGACAAGCCAGCGGAGAAGGGTCTCGCTTTCTCTGCTCATGTAGTTACTGACACGTAACTTCAACTCTGTCGGTTCGTTTTTGGGCTGGTATGGTCAACAATCCGATCCATCTCGCGGTGGATCGTACCGCGGACTTAGTTATGCTTCTATGTGGCTCAGGACGACGAAGGTGCGGACGTCGAGCAGCCAGCCCATGTTGAGCAAGAAGTAGATGAAATGACCCTGCATTCCAAGAACTGTCTCCTGCAATTCAGGATGACCAGATTTTGGACAACCCGAATGGAGCGTTCCTGAACAGGGAAGAGCTGATTCACGAAGGTTATCGCATCATGAACAACGTGGGATGGAAACCGGTAAACCCGAATGTCAGGAGTGGATCAAGTGCTAATCCAAGACCACCGGTGCCGCCACCTGTGCAGGCAGCTGCGTTTTAGGGGTATCAGTTCTACAACAACCCGGATCGATTAGAGTTTTGTGTGAAATGCAAGAAGTTTGGACATCGGCCGGAGAAGTGCTAGGCAGACATGGTATGTGGAAAGTGCCACAGGCGTGGACACCCATCACGCAGTTGTATGACTAAGTCGTGCCCGAAGTGCGGAGAATATCACGATGGACATTGGGAGGAGTGGAAAGCTTTTCAAGAGATCAAGAAACTCGTTCTTCAAGGAGGCCTAGCTGACCTCCTAGCCATGTTCGGGAGGACATCCGGAATGGCAAGAACGATTCTAAGCCCGCCGAATGGGGTTTCGGTACGCATCGGGCTGCGAGAACCCTCAGAATTGTGTGTGTTAGCGTATGCCGGTCCCGAATTGAGGACCAGGAATCAAGATAACCCACAATGGATGTCCTCCATGATTCAAGACGAACCTGTTCCTTTGGATATTCGACAAAGGATTTCAGGACCGCCACTGCCTCCAGAACCCGAAGGCAAATCTGAATTCAAGTTGAACCCCGGGGAACGGTATGGTTGGTGGGTCGAGAATGATCGTGAGGAGGAAAGACGTCAATGTACTACGGTTCATGGAGCAGTGAACAACTTCAGGACGCAGATATTGCTTGACACCGGAGCGACTGTGACTATGATCAGTTTAGACCTTGCGCGTAGACTCAAGATCAAGCTAAACTCACAGAAGCGGATCAAGGTGTCAGGATTAGGTGGCGTCCCAAGTTATATCACTTCGAGTGCACAGATCAAGATCACTTTGGGATGGCGAGTCGAGTACGTCATGGATGTCTGGGTAACGAACATCGGAGAAGGAGTGGATGTACTCCTAGCGATGGACTTCATGTTCAGTGCTGGAGTACGCCTAGGTATTCGTGAAAGAATGGTAGGACTCCCGGATGAAGAATCTATCTTGATGTATGGGTACACCGTACGAAGACGTGACTACCGGGATACCCCAGTCTGCACCCTTCGACGATTATATCTGCGACCTGGGGAACATGCAAATGTGGCCATCCGATATGGACAATGTCGTCCACTCCAGGATGTCGTATGGGCAGGACGAGGTGATCAGTGGGTCACCCACATTGTCTATGGCGCACGATCGTGGGCTGTAGCGATTAAAGTGGTCAACGTTTCGGACCGAGATTGTTGGATAGAGCGTAGGACATCCGTTGCTCGGATTGCGGATTATGGGAATATCCCCATAGTTGGACAGTTCGTGCGCCCTGGGCTACGAAGGTATATGGAGTGGCAACAGATTATTCAGGAGAACACATTGTCCGCGAAGGCGAGGGTGCGTCAGGAAGCGTATGAACAGATTCTTCGGGATGCGGCTCCGCCTGCAGTCATGGTTCCCAAGTACAAGTGGCCAACGAAGTTACTAGTGAGGCCAAGGGAACCTGAGCGTTACGAGGATTGTGGAAGAGTTGCAATCGCAAAGAGATACCGATGGCGTGGAAGCAGCTGAAGATGCTATGCCGGGGTCATACTCCCCGAGCGTGATTGGTTCGCTCATGGCTGTCGAAGTTTCGCAGGAATCTGTCACCCTGAATGCCGACATCCAGAATGGCGGAACGGTTGCCAATTTGGGATCCTGTGGAGAAGTCCCAGACGAGATGACCCAGGGATCTGAATGCGATGTATTCCAGAGTGACCTGAGCAAAGAAGACGAGGATTTCGAGTTACCTTCGTCTGCCGTGCCTGGAACACCACTCGCAAGGCTTGATGCGGCTTATGCCAGATGTATGCGAGTGAGCGCTGAAGAACTCGATTTGGAACCAGCGGTTTATATTCGCGAAGGGAGTGCGCCTATGTTCCAATTGAAAGATCAGTTGGTTATGCTACCTGATTTGGATGATCTCTCCCCTGAATGTGATATTGAGGGCGCTGACGTTGGGGAACCTGGTGAAAGCACGGTAGCTCAGGAAAAGCAGCTGAAGTCCATCCTGAAAAGACACAAGAAGATCCTCTTAGGTCACTGGAACGCTTCCCCGCCTCCGGCGAGGAGCGTCACCTGTGATTTAGATGTGGGTGATGCCAGGCCAGTTGCTCAGAGACCCCGATCGGTCGGCCCACACTTAGCAATCAAGGTTTACGATTTGCTGAAGAAACTCCTGGAAGCCACACTGATTGAACACTCTGAATCGCCATGGGCATCACAAATTGTGATCGTGCTCAAGAAGAACGGAGTGGACATTCGGATGTGCATCGACTATCCAGTCGTTAATAGTTTCATTCAATTGTCGAACTACCCACTACTACCGATCGACGATCTCATCACCGGTTTCGAAGGAATGATGTGGTTGATGAGTCTTGGTATGGCAAGTGGCTTTTGGGCAGTCCGAATGACTGCGAGAGCTAAGCTGATCTCGGCGTTTACCTGTCCATTCGGACATCTCCAATGGGTTCGTCTGCCATTCTGGTTGAAAATGCCCTACTTATTTACCAACAGATGATCAACAATCGCCTGTGAAGATTTATGCGGCTATCACCTGAAGAAGAAGCACTTGTGGATCAAGATGTGTTAGACTACTTGAAGTTAGATCCTCAGTCACCGAGTGATGAAATGGACGCAGACCGTAGCATGACACCACTTGTGGCGCATGGGGCGGCCACGTGGGACCAACTATGCGGTGATCTAGATGCGCTGCTTTCTCGGTTACGGGATTAGAGTATCTCACTTAGCGTGCCCAAGAGCGAATTCGGGAAGCGTGTCATACCGTATCTCTCCCATGAGATTGGTGCTGAAGGGATACGTGCCACCCCGAAGATCATAAAAGGCATTCATGAGTTACCATTTCCGTCTACACTGAACGGAGTTCAGTCATTTCTAGGCAGCCTGAATTATTACCACAAATTCATTGAGGAATATGCTGTGGTAGCTGCTTCACTCTATGAGTTGACCGACGATTAAGTGCGAGCAGGACGAGACTTATCTCGGGCGAAGGAATCTTTCGAGATCCTGAAGAAGATTGTGTCTACACCTCTACTCAGACACCCGGATCGGATGAAATCTTTTGTGATCATCCCGCATGCGAATCAGTGGGCTGCTTGCGCAGTTCTAGGCCAGATGCATGACGGACTTGTTCAACCAGTTCGTTTCACGGGGCGTGTCCTAAGTGACGCCGAACTCAAGTATCATATCGCTCAGAAGGAGGTTCTCGCTGTGATACGAGTGCTCCATGTGTTCAAGAATCTGATCAAAGGATGTCCGTTGGTAATCTATACTCGACATTCAGTGTTGAAGTGGGTCATCCATTCCAAGACCGCCGAAGGCCGTCTGGTGCCATGGAGCGTCGCGCTCTCACAGTACGACTTGGAAATTCGGAAGGTCAGTCGAGATGAGGATGGCTTAGCTGCCATTATGGGTGCGGTTATCACCCCCAGGGAGTACTTGGATGAAGTCGCCGAAGTACTCACTCCAGCTAAGGGGCACGTCAAGCTGCCCCCAGTCGTGAGTGTCGAAATGCTCTTGGAAGGGTACTCCGGAGTAGTCCTAAGTTGCGATGGTGCGGCCAAAACTTCCACAAGGAAAGGCAGCTGTGGATGCATTCTGTGGCAGCTACCTGAATGGAAAGTTTTGGATGCTCGAGGTTACATCCTGGATGGAGTCACCGTCAATGACGCGGAATACGGGTGGAATATCGGGTTGCTTAAAGGACTTGCAATGGCTCTGGAAAGGGGAATTCAGGACATAGTCGTCCTGAGTGACTCGGGAATTGTGATTCAACAAGTCCAAGGCATGATTATTTGTAATAATTCAACCTACAAAGGAAACTAACTGAATGTGAAACCCTGAAGAGGCGTTTCCAGACGATCCGATTGGTACACATGAAGCGTGAGTTCAACCAAGATTATCTGACGTCGAAGGCCCTTGTCGAAGGTGAATCGTGGATAGTCCAGGATGATCTCGAGAAACAGCGCCTGGAAGTAGTGTCTAAGATTTGCGAGCAGTTGGTGAAGCCGCCGAAAGACGCTGACACTCGAGTTCGCAGTGGATATCCCATACAAGACTCTGGTAAAGAAGATGGTGATTCAGGAGGCACGGTCTTGGCCCTGCGTGCGCCCCTCTACCTTCTGCCGCCCGAGTCATGGCAGTACTCACGAGATCGCGAGCTCAAGAAGTTGACGATGACGAAGTTCCACCCATGGGACCGCTAGAGTTTCAGGCAAACGCTGGAGACGGATCAAGGTTCATCAAGAGAAAGACGAGTATCTAGCAGAGATAAGGGCATTCCTGAATGACGACCTGGATAGATTATCATCCACGCGCTTGAAGAAGATCAGTAGGGTTGCAAATCCTTTCGTTTTGGATGACCGAGGATGGTTGTACAGACTTCCACACTCTATTCGTGGAAAACCGCGAGACACCGTGGATAATTTGAGACTGGTAGTCCCGAGTTCACTCCGGGAAGACATGTTGCATCACGCACATGAAGCTTTCCAAGGTGGCCGTCAAGGGATCACTCGGACGCATGGGAAGTTACGTACCGAATTCTACTGGCCTGGCATTTATGCGGACGTCCAACGTTTTGTGAAAAAATGCATGGATTGCGCTAGTGGAAAAGGGGTGCCCCCGAATGCTGGACCTTCGCCAGGAAACATTGAACCACGGTATCCTATCGAAGCAGTATCTATGGATTTCGTGACTCATATGCCTGAGTCAGCTAGAGGGAATACGTTCGTCTTGTTGTTTCAGGACATGTTTTCAGGTTACGTGATGTGTAAGCCCATGTCATCCACTACCGCTTAAGATGTCGTTGGGGCCTATGAAGAACAAGTGTTCCAGAGATTCGGGGTGTCTTTCATGATACGACACGACCAGGATCCGCGGTTCATGAGTGAAGTGTTCACTAGGTTCCGAGAACGCTTAGGTAGCCGACAACGTGCTACACTCGGATATCGTCCACAAGCGAATAGGCAACAGGAAAGATCCGTACAAACAGTCATTCGGAGTGTTCGGTCATATGTCGCAGAGATAGATCAATCCGACTGGGATGACGACGCTGAGCGACTGATGTTCGCCCTGAATGTCTCGTTCGACGAGGCCAGACTGGACACTCCTTTTTATTTGGTTCATGGTTGGGATGCCCGAAGAACGGTCTCGGCAATGTTAGGACCGAAACCTTCGAGCATTCCTGAGCGTAGCGCCTATGAGTGGCGATGGAAACTACAGCGTGGATACAACTACGCACTTGCTTGCGCTGAGGATCTCCAGAAGAAGGCTAAGAAGATGTGCTCGGACAAACAAACCCGTAAGTGGCTGGGACTCTCAGAGAGGGTCAAAGTCGGTTTTGAGAAGGGTAACTTCGTTTGGCAGTATATCTCGAAAGTTCACACTGGATTGAGCCAGAAGTTGGCACACATGTGGCACGGGCCATTCAGGATCGATGAAATTCGGGATGACTTCCGTGTGAAGCTGAAAATGAAAGATACAGGGTATCGTGTTAACCCTTGGGTACACATTAGCCGACTCAAGCCAAGAGTAGTCTTCCCAAAAATATCAACAGTCGAGGTTGATGTCGCAGATGATGATGTTTCGATGCGGCGCTGTTGCCTGAAGACAGTTGGGAGCCTGACAGCTCAAATGATGTGTTGGAAGTGGAGTCAATTCAGGACGTACGATGGGAGAAACACACCCGAACTGCGAGACGATCCCGATAATACCTCGTCTAATGGAAGTGGTATGATGACCCAGAGTGGATTCCGGTGACACAGCTCAATTGTGGATCACTATTGTACAAATTCAACAAAGGAACGCGAGCACGAACTCGTTTTCAGGCGATGCACGTTGGGGACGACCACCCAAGAGTGTAGTCAACCCGAATGACATTACCTGAACGACGTTAGACCGTGGAACTATGTGAACTGATTATCATTTTGTTTGATTCGTGATGAAGAATTGTGGAGCTATTCAGGATACTGACTGTGGAATTTACGTGCCCGAACCACTAAAACGCGCGATACACCGACATGAATGCCACTATGCCATCCAGAGACTCTCGAGCGACGTCCTTCAGGCTGTCCCGCACGTGAAGGATCAGAAACTTGGATCGAGCTTCAAACATGACGTCCTAAGGTTTCGTGTCCATGAGCTCCTTGAACGCAACTGGATCCCAGCGTTCTCGCAGCGCCTGGACACCTTCGTCCTTGGCCAAATAGGGAGCATAGTCTGGGGACCCGAATGACTGTGTCACGGCATGAGCTGTGCCAGGAGGAAACTTCATCAAAATCCCGCGATGGCGCCACGAGAGGATACCCTGACCCGGCACTTCGACAAACCATTTTTCGGAGTCACTCAGGAAGCCATAACTCTTGTGTGCCAGAGCTGTTTGCTTCTGCTCTTGCCCTGGACGACACTTCTTGCCGTATCCGGACTTGGCGCGTTTCTTGAGTGGCGAAGATGCACGCTTGGGTTTAGCCTTGGATGACGAATCAGAAGCAGTGTCACGACCACGCTTTGCTTGTCGAGGAGGGGTAGTACGACGCTGAGGCTTGCTCTGGCTGTCGTCACCTGGGGAGAAGGACGCGTCGCGCCCTTCATCATCTTCCTCTTGCGTGACACTATCATAAAGCGCCGCCATAATCTCCACAGCGTCGTCCTGGATTTCTTTGCGTAAATTGGGCCAACGAGTGGGAATTTCACTTGAAGTGAGGGTCGTGGCGAGTTTAGACTAAGCCTCCTTGAAACACCAGCTCGGAACGTACTTGGCCCAAGGAGTTCTGTCGAAACTCTTCCAGTATATGATGCTCACTAACATGGAAATTAGGTGTCGAACGTCCAGGTGTGAATGGATCTCAGCATCAGCCCGAGCTGCGGCAAGAGCCTCATCGTAGGACATGTGTGACCGCATGAGTTCCTGGATATCTGCACGCAGCTTGTCCCAAATGACCGGTTGTGTCAAACTTTCACGGGCTTGGTGACGGAGAGTTGGTTGGCTGTCGTGGGATCCAGGGTGTCAGTCATACTCGGAGCGTAAACGCTGAGCCGAAGTTGAAAGTCCGTAAGAGCCTTGGGTTTAGATCCACTGAATAATTTGCGCTGGATTTTGGCTGTGGTAGACACAGTCGAGGACGGCCCCGTGACGTCCACCATGGAAATCTTCAGGGCGACCTGAGGTTTGGGCACGTCAGGGACCTGAGACTCTTCATCGTCGCTTTCGACCTTGTACTCGTAAGCACACGGGTCGGCATCGAACTCGTCGGCAGTGTTGATCTGGATTTGAGTCTTCAAGGCGTCAGGCGGGAGTGAACCATCTTTGAACTTCTCGAGGAGTTCCTTCAGGCGCGGCCAGTTGCCGCTAACCCGAGCGTTGTGACCATTCAGAAAGTTCATCACACGACCGACCTTAAATGTTCCACCACGCAGTCGATCTTCAAGTTGTTGGTTGGCCAGGCGATAGTCCTCAAGTTGACGTTGTAAGTCGGTGTTCTAATCCCGAAGTACCCGTTCTTGGCGGCTGTGCTCTTCTGTAGCCCGCTGGAAATCACGGTCACTTTCGGAGAGTCGACTCTGAGCTTTCTCTAGAAGTTTAGCCACTTGTTGTTGGAAAGCTTTTTCGAGAAGCACAAAGTCGCTACGTGCGCTGCAAGCATCGTCTGAAGAATTGCCCAACTCGAGCGTGGTCTTCGCGGTTCCCAGAGTGCAAGCAACCTGAGAGACACGGTGCCAATCTAACATACGTTTCAGGAGTGTGGACATCCCGAATACCTTGCGAGCCAGACCTTGATGCTCATACACCCGTAAGAGTGCCGCCAATTCGCGTTGTGCTGGGATGCCAGTAATCATATCGCGAAAGTCGCTCGGGCTTGGCTACGCTGACGCATCCCGAGGCAACAACAGCTCGCGCTGAATGTCTTGGTCTTCGCTAAGTAACGTCGATAACCCGGCTTTTCTCGGTCACTCAACAATTCAATCTCAACGAGATTTTCGAGGTCGCCATAACCGGCGCGCAAAAACACCGTACCCAGACAATCGACATCGAAGGCTGGTACACCGACGAATTGCGTTGTGGAGCAAGGCGAATAACTTGGAGGCGATGTGTATTTTGGACAGGAGGGACTTAACCATCCACCGAAGGAGCAGCCGCGACAACCGAGCGAGCCTTGGCATCAGCTGCATCCAATTCCGTGCGATACGTCGACGTGGCCAGCCACGTCGACAGCAAATTTTGCGCAGCGTTGCGCGCGTTAAAGTCGTCGGCTGCGGAGATGCTGGGACGATCTGAGCCAGACGCGGACCCATGTAACAGGTCCACCACTTGCGGACGCTTTGCAGGCACGTCGTTGTCTTGAGCCGTCTCATCGTGCGGACTGACAGGCGTGTCCATCAGTGGCGTGTCAGTTGCCGGAGGGTCGTCGTGTGATGCGTCACCACCTGGTGCGCTAGTCCGTGAAGGCCGATCTAGCTGTGGGACGTCTCCCGGCGGTCGACTTGCCGGCGTGTGGGCAGGCGAGGACAATTGTGGATGCACGGAGTCTGCGTTCGAAGGCATTTTGCCGAATATCTGGAGTTTCGGTTGCATTATTGGCAGAGGCTTCCAGAACGAATAAGATACGAAAGTGGGAATTTCTTGGATATTGCGTGGACGAAGAAAGGTCTCGCGTTTTGGCAATGTCATTACTCCATCTGTTGGCCACATCCTCTTGGATCGTAAGGCTTGTGCGCAAATAGTCCTTATTGGTAGCGTTTTTGAGCTTAGGACTGACGTTTTCTGGGCGGACCTAAAGTAGTACGGGGTGTTCTGACCAGGGTACAGAGGGGCGGTTGTGACGATGCAACCTGGAATTCAGATGGCCTCCGCAGCTGTCCTGACTGGAGAGCCGGACCTGGGAATGTGGAATGAGGTCCCTGACCAACGGACATCCTGAATTGCGGGTGTACATCCCTGATATCGCGTGTAACCCGAATGGAGATACCAAGTACGTTCCGAATAGCATGCGCAGCCTGAATGGATATCACATACAACCCGAATGGAGATACCCCGTGCAATCTGAATGGAATACAACCCGAATGTCAAGTTGGAGTATTCAACTGATGATGTGGTGGTCCAAGATGCCCGACACGACATGCGCCAGTGCCGACAAAGGTCGACCTGAACCGACGTCAGACTACCTGAAAACCATACTGAAGAGAAGATGGGACCCGTGTGAAGAGTCGGCGAACGCTGCCAATTCAAGGTGGGCCATGTGTCAACATGTGATGTGTGTGCTCAAGTTGATCGATGACGTGACAACCCAAGTATACAAAGACCAAGTCATCCAGTCGGTCTGTAATCACGAGGCAACGAAGACCGAATAATTCGAACCTCCAGAGATCAAGATATTACAAGAACTTGAAGATCATGAAGAATAGGCCTAAGATGAAGATGTTGATAGTTAAAGTTTAAATAGAGTTTGTTTTGCCATCTAGTGCACAAGTGGTTCGCAGGAACCGTGTTACGAGGGGCACCGCGTCGGAGAAGACCTGTGGGAGACAACCTAACGGGTCAAGGACCGACCACATCAGGGGCTGACTACGACCATGCAGGACGCATGAAGACTCTCAACCTCGTTCAAGCTTAATTAACTTGGGGACCGGTGTGTTTGAACGCTCGGGCTGATCCAGTTATTCCATTTGCCAAATTGCCTCTGGATACCCTCGAGTGTCCAGTTGCATTTCATATTACCCTGCGATTTAGGAGGATTGTAGCGATCTCCCCCTGGATCTTTATTGCTGATTGCTGTGTGAACGGAAGGTACTTATATTGATTCTCCTGTCTTAGTACAGGAGTGGTGCGCGAAGGGCATCCCGAAATCTATCTGTATTCGGATGTGTCTAATAACTGACAGGCCGCATATTTGCATTACAAACTCTGTGTATATCATCTAGGTCATTTGTATTTTTAGGTTAATTTTGGAGGAATGTCTTTACCCATGATCTCTCAACTAACACTCAGGACGACAAGGACGACGAGGTCCTGGAAGTTCTCTTATATCTCTGTATATCCCATTTGTAAGTCACTGCTACGGTCTTATCCCTGGTTTTCAAATTAATCGAACCTATAGGGATTGACGCAAGGCACACGCCAACCCGGACTAGAACTAGTTTTCAGCCCGAGGCTTGTACTACCTGAACGACTTCATGTTCGAATCCGTTCAGGGTACGCGATACACCTTTGGGCGGTCAAGTGTTCACCCACTTCGCCACAGTTCGGTGGAATACGTTTGCGCTAACACTTTTAACAATCATAAATACCCGTAGTCAGGACGAGGGCGAGTCTGGACTGAGCACCATAGTGCTTCCAGACTCTAAGACTCATCATTAGCTCTCCTCCATGTCGACCGTTTCTCTCACATCCCACAGTCACGTTTCTTTCCTCACATGCACACTTGGCAATCCTGTATCCATTACCTGAATCCTGGTTTCATACAAATCCTTGCTTCCATGAGAAATTATATATCACTTCGTGTCAACCGCCCCTCCTAGCCATGGCTGGTCATTGCGGAATTTTCATGTCTGGGATCACAAAGACACATCTCCATTTTCATCTTGAGTCTGGATCATCTCTGAGCCCCAGGTTCCCTCATATTCTGAGGCCCATTCAGGCTCTCCTGAATCCGGCTCCCAATTCATTTCCAAGACAATCCATCAATTCATTTCCGAATCGAAGTCCTGAGTACCAATATACCGGTAACTGTCGACTCCCATCAGTGCATCAACGGTTGAACTTT